GGATGAGAGGTGCACTCACTGGAGGGAGAATTATGATCAAACACATTCAATGGATATTTTATAGTGTCTGTATATTTTAGTAAGGGATTAAAGGTACATTTTATAAGGTGACTAAGTCCCTACACCAGCTGGCTCTCAGTACCCTGCATGAGTGTCACACAGCAAGTTCCTTCTTCCCATTTTTTGTAAAACTGGCCAATTAAGATTTGAAATGGGACATAACTGTTTTGTATCACTGTACAGTAAGTCCAAAACTCCACCATACATATGATACAGTGAGTGAAGTGACAGTTACTTGTCCTAAACTTCACACATGAGAGGCTTAATAGTTGGAGTTCCCTGAACCCTGCAGTTGAGTGAGCAACTTTTACTATACAGTATAGTGTTGGCAAATTTCTGATCACTGTAAGAATTACCTGGAACAATCCCACACCATCCCTGTTACCTACATTTCATATTTATAAAACCAATGTACCATACTGTACCTGTATATTAATACTGTACAGTACTAAAGAATGCACTGCCAAATTTTTTTATGTTAGGTGTATACTGTAGGGGAGGTCACATAATGGGCCATCAATACTTTTGAATAAACAAACTTAACTAGACAGAATATATGTCGTCATTCTCACAGGAATACAGTAAAGTACAATACAGTACTGTATTAAGTCATGATAGACCAAAACAGAAATTCAATACTGTACAATTTATAAGAAAGTCTTTGTATACACACCAATGTGATCATGACTCATCAAAAGCCAAAATTATTTTCCAAAGTGTTTTCCCTTAAAAAACTCTTTTTTGGGGGGAAATTATTAATAATTTCAAACCAATTTCAGTCTTTGTCACCCACCCGAAAACTCCTCGATCAATCACAACTGGACTGATCACAACAAGGACAAAAACAAAAAATGTCATCGCTCTTGTACCAAGTCTGCTTATCAGCCGTACCTATAATGGTAAATTTATCATCTATGGTAATAATCTTGTATACCAATGGAAGCAAACTAATGGTTGAAGACTTGCACAAGAGTGAACACTAGGAAGAGCATCTTGACACAATTGCTCAGATTCATTCTAATTATCTTATCCCCCCCCTCCCTTCTCACATGTGTATTAGTACACTTAAATATCCAACAGTTAGATGAGCGGAACTGTGCAACGACAACACATAAACAAAACAATTTCTATTACCGTACACTTGTTAAACACAACTACTGGTGCACACACAAACATATTCAATGTGTCAACTTCTCAACTACAGATCCTTTAAACTATGAATATAACAAGGAGTCCAAAGCATGCATGCATACTTAACCCAATTAATATTTACTTTGATTTATAGTCAAAAGAATAAATTACACTTCTGTCAATGACCAAACACTATGTAAGGTACAGTCAACCCTCGCTTTACGCGGTCCCACATTCCGCGTTTCCACGTTAACGCGGTGCCCTGCCAGAAACTAACGTGCTCACATTACGTGGTGCATGAACCCCATTATGCGGAGAGTGTCCGGCGCGACGCTATTTTTAGATTCGCCCCACCCGCCTGCCTGCCTGTGCTCTCGCCTCTCCCTCCTCCTCCTCCCTCCGCCTGGGCAAGCCGCGCGGTAAGGTTGCGCAGTGTGTGTGTCTTTGTTGCGTTATCACTGACGTCATATGACGTATTGGACTGTGATTGGCCATGCATCCCTACCCCCCTCTGCTGCTAGCTGTAATTGGCTTAAAGTATTATGACGTGTCCACCCGGGGGAGGGAGGGAGGGAGGAAAGACGATGCGTGACCTGCCGCGCCAGTTTCATCCCTCCACGCCAGACCGTGCAAACGTGTATCCATTGTTCTGTAAAATGGCTTCCGCCGGACCACCGCCCCCAGAGAGAAACCTTTCCTTACCTGGACCCAGCGGCACTAAGCCAAAGAAGACACGACGTTCTTTAAGCTACGAGGTGAAGTACAAGATCATCCAAGAGTTGGAGAAAGGAACAAGGCAGGTTGATTTGGCGCGCCAGCATGGTGTGAATGAATCTACGATTCGAACAATAAAGAAGGATGCAGCCAAGATAAAGGAGCACATGAAGATCACAAAGTCTACAGGTGCTTCTATGATCAAGTATTTTCACAACCAGGTGCTTCTCAAGACAGAAAAATTACTTGTGAGGTACTTGGTGCGTCAGGCGCGACGGAACATGGCGGTCGACACGCGCTCTGTTAAGGAGTACGCACGTGAACTGTACATCGCAGTGGCACGAAAGATGGGAATTACAGAGCCCAAACCCTTTAATGCTTCCTCTGGGTGGTTACAGAGGTTTAAGATCAGGAACAAGATCACCAATATCAACATTGGTGGTGAAGAAGCGAGTGCTGACCGTGCTGCGGCTAGGGAATTTCCTCCGTTTTTACGTGAGATTATGGAGGAAGGACAGTACAGTGACGACCAGGTGTTTAACATGGACGAATCTGGTCTTTTCTGGAAAAAGCTACCTCCCAAGTCCTTCGTTGTAAAGAATGCCAGCAAGATTCGGGGCCGGAAGATGCAGAAGGAACGCATCACCGTCCTGTTTACCACCAATGCCTCCGGTACCAGTAAGCTCAAGTTATCGGTGATCCACACAGCACGCAAGCCGCACACCTACAAAACCATGGACATGACCAAGCTAAATGTCCACTGGCTGACCGCACGTAAGGCGTGGATGTTCTCTACACTGTCCCTCTCCTGGTTTGATGACTGTTTTGTTCCCGATGTAAAGAAATTCTGTGAGCAACAGAATGTGCCATTCAAGATTTTGTTGCTGCTGGACAACGCACCAGGACACTCGCCCCTACTGTTAGATCGTCACCCCAACGTAAAAGTGGTCTTCCTTCCTCCCAACACTACGTCTATATTACAGCCCATGGACCAAGAGTTAATCTGTAATGTAAAAGCTGCATTCTCTACGAAAAAATTCAAACTCCTGAACGACTACACCAACACCAGGGAAGAGTTGCGTAACCTGAGTGACACCACCACCGATAGCAAGAGCGAAGAAGATGAGGATCAACAGTTGGCACAGCAAAAAATACTGTTCAAACAATTCTGGAGAGTATTTAACATCAAGAAAGCTGTGGACTTCTTGGTGGAGTCATGGGATCAGCTGTCTATTGCTACAATTCGTCACGCATGGAGACATGTGTTGCATGGAATACCAGGTGAGAGGAGGAGTCAATCTGTGACTGGTGAGGTTCAGACTGTTGCAGTAGCAGTGGACCTTGCCAGAGAAGCTGCGCAGACTGTTACAGTTCCAGGCTTCTCCGAGACCACCAACGACGACATCATGGAGGTGATAATGGAAACTGATGTGACTACCGAGGAGATGGTACATGATGATGATGACGTCAGTGAAGAGGCAAGTGGTGCGTCATCCCAAGAAGAACAACACTTATCCCATAGTAATGTTAGGGGTGCCATCGAGTGTATCGAGAAAGCCAAGCTCCTCCTTTCCGACGACCCTGACGCAAACAGGTATGAAATCTTCACTACCCAGCTGTTGCAGACTATGGAGCCCTACATCAAGGTGTATCACGACAACATCAACACCAACCGTCAACAAAGCATAATAGATTTCTTCGCCCGCAACCCACCACAGCCAGCTCAAGCCAGTGATAGTGACAGTGAAGATGACTTTGAGGGATTTGTCAGGGAAGCCCTGACAACTGTAAGTGACAGTGATGGTGATGCACCTAGTGATGGTGATGCACCTAGTAATGGTGATTCACCTGAGGGCCAGTAGCCTGCCCTCTGCCTCGGAACCAGCCTCCATCCCCGTACGCCGACCCATCTCTTCTACTAATGTAAGTGTTCCACCTAACTTTTAGTTTTCCTAACCTAACCTTTATTTTTCCTATGTTAACCTTTATTTTTCCTAACCTAACCTCTTCTATATTACTTGTTTTTCATACCATCATAAAGTTAAGATAAAATTTTTACTACAACATAGTTGTGTGTCGTCAAAAAGTGGAGTTTGGGGGTCGGCCCGGACTCTATTTCAATTAATCCCATATGTTATGTTATTCACTTTACGCGTTCCTCACTTTCCGCGGGACCCTGCGGGTTACATTAACCGCGTAAAGTGAGGGTTGACTGTATATACTGTACTGGCTCTATCACCTTCACATTTTCTACTCAGCTAATGTATATGGCAATTATTAAAATATTTAAAGACTTTCCCTAGAACTTTTATCAGTTAAGAATTCAGAAAGTAGCACGTGAGAAAAATTTCCCCAAATCAAAGACAAACTAAAGGCAAAAACAATTACTAGTTTAAAGGTAATTTATTAATATACACTCACACGTCTACAAGAGTTGTTTAGGTGTAGAGTAAACAATTAAACAGCACCAAATACTCCCACTGCCTCCATTTATGACCAAGATCATCAACACTCGACAACGTTTACACCACACGATGAGTAATCCACTATTGTTAAACGCTTACCTCGTGACTTAGTCATGGCTCTTCTTCCTAGAATTTCGATCGACAAACAACTGACTGCTATTCATAAGTGAGAAGCATTGTGTAGCAGCTAACTAATAGATAAGCCTCTGAGTAAAATATGACAGAAGTAATAAGTGAATTCAAAAGACAGATAAGGATTAGTGCCAGGTCTTGGGGGCGGGTGAGATATTAAGGTTCTAGGGATGTGAGTACCTAGGGCATGATGGGTAGAGAGGACAGGCAAGAATGGGATGAGGACAAAGAAATGGGGGATGAAGGTGATGGGAGGGGCAGAGGAAAGGTAGCAAGAATAGACAAGAGATGGGGATGATGGGTTAAGTAGAAGAATCAGTGAATGGAGAAGAGGACAGAGATGGCAGGGATGATGGGAGTATAGGAAGGGCAGACAACAGGAAGAGGATTGGGGGGGGAGGAGGATGAAGAGGAGGTCTTTAGACATTACTTATCTGCTCTGAGATAATGTGGCATGGACTAAATTTCCAAGCACAAATTTTCTAGGCGGGCATTTACCTTGGTACGATCAATTATGTGCAGGAAGTACGACACGGGTTTCCCTGTCCACGATACTGACCCCTTGAGTGGGGACAGTTCCGACACGTGCATGATGGTGCCAATATCTGTTTAGAGGAAGGAGATAAAACTAAATTAGCATAAAATGTAATTGACCCTCTTTGCATTTATCTCTCTCTCATCTTCTATCTTACTCTCCATTACAGGTATATATAAAAAAAATTGCATTAATTTATGTGTTGAGATCTGCAAGAGAATTATATAAATTCACTCACAATAAAATACAGAATGTCAAATAAAGAGCAAGAAATGTTAATCATGAGTGAATAATCCATAAAACATAACATACCACAATAGCGATGAACTAATAGGTAAGAGTGTATACATTTATATATACTGTACAGTATAAAATTTCCCTTATGAGTAGTATTACCTGAATATTAATAAATAGCTCTATTGTAAATAGTGTATATACCGTTACAGTATATTTTACAAAAATTTTAGAAACAAATTCTACACCGTATACTTGATCGTACAGTACAGTAATTACAACCAAAATGCCAGTTTTGAGAAGATTAATAACTGTAACATGAAGATACAGTCAAAATATTTTACTAACAAAAGAGAAAACTTGAGAATGGTATTATATATTTATAAAGCTAATCTTTCCACCTTTGATATTTTGTGAATAGAGATGACTATACTATACAGGTGCAGTACTCAAATAATGACGGAATGTGTTCTCCAATATTGCAGTGCAAGGTGAATCGTCTTTTCGCGAATCATTAATTACCATTAAAATAAAGCAATACTAATGAGATGCGTTCCCAAGTGTGACCTTTTCATATCTTTGGTGTGGTTTTTACCCTCTTTTCCCCCCAAAACAATCCAGTTAATGAAAATTGCAAACTATATTCTTTAAATACTGTTTCTGAATGCACCTTATACAATATAAATGAATAATAATATGGTCACACAAGAGGAAATGGGACGCCATTGTTTTCGTTTGTGTTTACAGCCGGGAGTCCGGGACGATAGTTCTACACGAGAAAATGAAGAAAAGAAGACCCTGGTTGTAGCTGTAGTAAATTTAATAAAAAAAAATTTATATATATGTTTTAAGTAAATTATTTAATGTTAATAAATGGAACAATCGAAGTAGCTAACCACTAAAGGCAAAGGAAAAAAAAAAGAGATGGATTGGGAACGCCAACATATACG